GGACGGGCTGATCCTTCCAGTGAACGAGAAACTCACAACCATGAGGCGTGTCGCAGTGAGCAGTGATAGATGCCACTTCAAACAGGCCAGGGCTGCCTTCAAACATCGGTGGCAGTTGGCGTATGGCTGGGCGGTCGGGTGAGGGTGCACGGAAAGGGCGAAGGCGCTGGACATGGAAGACGGGGTGAATCTTCATATAGCTGGGCAGTTGGAGCCGGTAGTTGACTGGTGAGAGGGCTCGGGTGATGGTGAACGGGCCAATGAAGCGAGGGGCGAGTTTTCTGGTTGTGCCTTTGCGTAGGAGAGGTAGGTGATCAATGCAGAGAAGTACTTGGTTGCCAACCTTGAAACGGATATCTTTGTGGTGAGAGTTGGCATAATGGGTCTGTTTGGCTTGTGCTTTAAGGATGGAGGTGCGAGCGGCATCAATGGCAGATTCGAGTGAGGTGAGGAACTCAAAGGCTGCTGGTGCGTGGGAGAGGTGGGAGGGTAGGGTCGTTGGGAGGCGTGGGTGCTGTCCGTTGGCGAGGTAGAAGGGTGGCTGACTGGTGGAGAGGTGGGGTGTGCTGTTGTCTGCGAGTTCGATGGCGGTGAGGTGGAGGTCCCAATCTGTTTGGCGAGCAGTATCTTGTGCAAGAAGGGCGTCTTCAAGCGTGCGGTTCATTCGTTCGGTTTGTCCGTCCGTTTCGGGGTGATATGCTGTAGAAAATTTCAGCCGGGTTCCGTGAAGCTTGAAGAGGCTTTGCCAAAAGTTGCTCAAGAAGCGAGGGTCACGGTCGGAAATAATGGCGGATGGGAGATCATGTAGGCGGACTATGTGATCGAAGAAAAGGCGGGTTGTTTCAGGTGCAGTGTCAGTTGTGTGGGTGGGAATGAAGTGGCTCATTTTGGAAAGTCGGTCGACGACTACTAGGATAGCGTTGTAGCTGCGGGGTGTGCGGGGCAGATCCATGATGAAGTCCATGGTGACTTCATCCCACACTTTGGTAGGTGGAGGGATGGGCTGAAGGATTCCGTAGCGGTTGGTGGTGCGTGCTTTGAGTTGTTGGCAGGTTCAGCAGGTGCGTATGAAGTCACGCATATCAGCATGCATGCGTGGCCAATTGTAATCGTTGGAGAGGTGAGCATACGTCTTCTCAACACCGAAGTGGCTGCCGGTAGCGGTGTCGTGGTACTTGGAGAGTAGCAGCTGCCGTAAGGAGCGATCAGGAGGGACACAAATGGTCTTCGTAACACTATTGTACCAAAATGGGTCTTCAAATGAGTAGGCCGGGTCCTCGGGTGCTTGCTTCACAAAAAACAAGTCATGTTTGTAGGCGCGCTGAAACTTTTTTATGAAGGCATCATCCCAGGTGATGCTGTTGGTTTCATGGAGTTGCAAGGGTGGGTTCGGAGATTGAGGTGGAGGTGATGAGGTGGGGCTGGTTGGGGAGTGTTGGGGCTGGTCAGTGGGTAGTGGGGCTGGTGGTGGTGGTCGGGACAAGATGTCGGCGGGGTTGAGTTTTCCAAGGCGGTAGATAATCTGAAGTGAGGGGACGAACTGCTCCAAAAACTCAGCCCATCGGGCTTGGTGGCGGCTGAACACGGGCTGTGTTTTCAAGTGTTGAAGAGGGCGATGGTCGGTGTAGACGGTGACGGGCTGCAGCTCCACGTAGCAGCACCATGTCTTGATTGCGTGGACAATGGCAAGGAGCTCCCGGTCGTGTGTTGCGTAGTTGCACTCTGCGGGTTGAAGCTTGCGTGACTCGAATGCAAGTGGCTGCATTCCATGGCCGTGGTCTTGGCAAAGAATGGCATCAACTGCGACATCGGAGGCATCGGTCCACATGAAGTAAGGCCGTGATGGGTCAGCGACGGTGAGAACCGGTGTAGAGGTGAGATGTGTTTAAATCGCGGTGAAAGCAGTTGCTGCAGTAGTCCCCACTGAAAAACAGCTCCTTGACAGAAGAGATCGGTCAAAGGGGCGCAGATGTGAGAGAAGTTGAAGATGAATTTGCGGTAATACTTGGCGAGGCCGATGAAACTTTGCAGCTCCGCTACCGTGCGTGGTGCTGGCCAAAGGCACTGGACCTTTGCGGAGTCCATAGCAATGCCCTTGGAGCTGATGACGTGGCCGAGAAAGCCGATGCTTGAACGGACGAAGGTACACTTGGACAGCTTGGCGTAGAGGCGGTGTTGGCGGAGCGTGTCGAGGACGATGCATAGGTGCTGAGCGTGTTCTTCGAGTGATTTGCTGAAGATGAGGATGTCATTGAGGAACACGATGACAAAGTGATCGATATCGTTCATGAGTCCCATCAACGTGACTGGTGCGTTGGTGAGGCCGAACGGAAGTACTCGGAACTCGAAGTGGCCTTAGCCGGTTCGAAACGCCGCCTTGTTGATGTCGTCTTCGGCGAGGCGGATCTAGTGGTGACCGGAGCGTAGGTCGACCTTGCTGAAAACCGTCGCTTCCCCAAGCATGTCGAACAACTCCTCGGCACGGGGCAGCGGGTACTTATTCTTGATCGTGATGGCGTTGAGGGCGCGGTAGTCGATGCAAAGAAGCATGTCACCTTCCTTCTTGCGAGTGAAAAGCATGGGGGTGGCGTATGGTGAGGTGCTGGGGCGGATGAAACCATTCTCAAGAAGGTCATTGAGTTGTCGTTGTAGCTCCAAATGTTCAGCAGTGCTCATGCGATAGGTTGGGCGCACGGGTGGTGTAGAGCCTAGAATGAGGCGGATCCTATGGTCAATAGCACGCTCGGGTGGAAGTTTGGCGGGTAGATCATCGGGAAACACGTCCGTATAACCTTTGAGTAGATCCTGTATGGGTAGTGGCAGAGAAGTAGCTGATGCTTCAGATTCGGGAGCCGTGAAGATGACTAGGAGATGATGAGGAGGAGGTGGCGAAGGAGGGGTGGGGGCTGATGGATTGATAACTTCAGAGAAGGGGCGGAAGTGGTAATGGTGTGGCTGTTGGGTTGGGTAAGGTGGAGAAGGAGGAGGTGTATTGATCACTTCGGAGGAGTCGGGTGGTGTTGGCTGCTGCGCGGGGGCTATGCGAGGAGGAAAGAGAGGGGGGATATGGGAGGCTGGAGATGGGGCACGTTGGGGTGGATGGATTGATGACGCTGAAATGGTTGGGGATGACCGTGGTCGGCGGTAGGAGTAGGATGGGAGGTCGTAGTTGCCGACGGTGACAGTTGCGTTACGCCAATAAATTCGCGGTCCAAGTTGGTACAGCCACGGTCGACCGAGGACTCCTTCGTAACCGCCGAGGTGCATTTGCTCGAACGGAACCGTCACCTCCAGACTTCCAAACATGCAGTGCACGGGGAGGAGGGTAGGTCCGCAGCACCGCCGAGTACCGTCTGCCATGATCACGTCCTGTGGGTTGCTGTTGGGATCTTAAGGAAGAGAAAGTTCAGCAACGATTGAGGGAGAGAGGAAATTTGCTGAACCGCCGGTATCGTGTATAAAGTCAACGTAGCGATTCTTTATTTTTGCCCATAGAATGATAGCGGGAAATGGAGCGTTTGATGTGGTGTAGGGTTCAGAGGTGCCGATGAATAATGGGGTCCGGAGAAGTGGGGCATGCGATGCGCCAGAGGTCTGCCCCACTGCTAATGGCGCTGTCCGTTTCCCGGAGACCTTTCGAAGTTGCGGCAGTTCGGGCAATATCGCTTGATGTGGCCGACTTTCCCGCACGAGTAGCATGTAAGCGTGGATTGGTTGCGTGTGCACTGGTCCACTATACCGAGCTCCATGGGAGTAGGACCGTTGGTGCAGATGGTAGGTCCAACCACTGCGTGCTGCCCGGTTCGCCCTTGAAATCACTGGTAAGACACAAAGTTGATGGTGTCAAAACGCTCGGCAACACGAATCATCTCGTCAAGCGTAGTGGCGCCACGAAGTTCGACCTCGATGCGGATTTTTTGTTTCAGCCCCCTCTTGAATTTGTCCTTCAGCAGCAGGGATGTCCGGGATCTCAAGTTCGAGCTCGCGGAAGCGATTGATGTATTCAGCGACAGAGCGGTGTTGGCGTAATTTAGCAAGGTTGTCACGTGCGTGCTCGATGGCGTTGACCGGTTCCCAAGTTGTTATCGTGCTATGGCAACTCTGCCACCAAGTAGCCGCTGCACCCCTCAGCATCATGCCAGCATGCCGAACCCTCTCCGCCCGGTTGACATGGCAAAGGGAGAGGTATTCCTCCACTTGGAAAAGCCACCGTTGCACCGGTAACTGACGTTTTCCAGGGATGAACGGTTCAGGTTCGGGTGCGTTGGGTCGTGCAGAAACCACAGCAGGTGCTGCCACCGGCACCTGTGTGCCCATGAGTCCACATTCCTGGAATTCGCCGAGAATCCGGTCACGCTCCTCGCGTTCAATCTCTCGGCGCATATTGGCGACGAATTCATTCCAGAATTCCGGCGTCATATCAGACGGCCCAGTCATAGGGTCTAGAATATGGTAGGAGCGTGCGAAGTGACTAACCAGGCTCTGATTACCAGTGAAACGTTGCTGGCAGGGAGGTAACAACCTTATTAGGCTTGAGAAACGGGTATGAAGTGCTCTCTGACTTCACAAATTTGACAGTACAATTTTATAGGACACATTCACAAATCGAGTCGCGCTCCCAAGTCGCGACACTCTGAATTTCTCAATGGTAACCCAACTGTTCGAAACGAACCTACCGTGAAATTCAGAGAATTTGCGGTGCGGGATTGGACGGCGAGCTTGATTATGGGGCTGTAGTTTTGTCGGCACCGTTGGCGAAGTCGGTGAGGGGTCGGAGCTTGACTTTTCTGCATTTCGTAGTTTTCGTGCGAGAATGTGGTTTGGACGGCGTGTCTTCAGGTGGGCGCCCAAATGCTGGGAGGGGAGGCTGGCCAATCCCAACCTTTCGTGGTTTGGGAGTTTGCAGCCTCCCACTTGCCGGTGGGTTGGCACTGTGCGGCTACCAAACTGTAACAGTGGGCTGCTGCACTGTTGCACACCCAGCCCCCATTCCCTTCGACTCACCCAGCCCCCATTCCCTTCGACTCACCCAGCCCTGGGGAGCTCTTTGCCGCTGCTTCCACCTTTGCAGCTGCCATCCTGAAAATATTTAAGGGGGTTGAAGGGTTAAAGGTGGAGCAATGGAGCAGAAGAGCAGAGGAGCAGTAGAGCAGTGGAGGAGAGGAGCAGTGGGGATATTTGATCAGTTTATAAACACGCGAGGACAGTGGTGTATACATACATTGATGAGCAGGGGAGTGTGAAAGAGAAAAACGGAGTGTGTGAGAACTAACGGAGGAAAAGGGACAAGCACACTATTCAATTGTAGATTCCCTACAAGCAGTCAAACAGAGCTAGCAAGGCAAGTAGTCCGAATGGGTGTTAAGGGGTGCGTGTGAGGGAGAGAAACGGGGTCGGAGGGAGGTTCGACAATAGGAACAAGAGCATACCAGGTTCAGCGAATGTGCGACTTGTCTCTCCACCTGACCAAATACAAAAGATTGTGCAAACATGCAAGCTCTGACAGAGAAGTGGGTTTTTAGGCACTTTGTTACAAGAGCAATTCAGGTGCAGTGGATGTGGGACTTGTCTCTCCACTTGGTCAAATACACCTCGCCTCGCCTCGTGAGGCGCCTCAAAAGTCATCATACGTTTTGAGGCGCCTAAAAAACGTACCAGGTGCAATGAATGTGGGACTTGTCTCTCCACTTGATCAAATAGTCCTCGCCTCGCCTCCCTTCACTCTTCCTCCCGCCACTATCCCTGCCATCGCCATCCCTACCACCATCACCACTCCTCCTACCCCCATTACTGCCCCTCTCGCCCGTTCCCCCACCCGCCCTTCCTTCGCTCCCCTCACCATCTCCTGCCCCACCCTCGCCCCACTGCGCCACCTCGCTCACGCCCAGGAATCGCTGCACTGCTGCCCAGTCATGGCCCTGAATGCACAGAGAGCGAGTGGGGTGAGGGAGAGAGGGTGGTGGGAGATGTGTACGTTGGGAAATAAGTGGTGTGAGAAGAGGAAAATGCGGTGGCACCCTCGCCCCCCTGCCCCACCCTCGCCCCCGCTGCGCCACATCCCTCACGCCCAGGAATTGCTCCACTGCCGCCCAATCATGGCCGTGAATGAAAGTATTGTAAGTGCACGTTGGGTTGGGAAATGAGCGGGGTAAGAAAGATACAGAGGGAAGAAGATGAAGGGGGGAATAAGGAGGGAGGAAAGATGTGGGGAGGGGAGCGGGGAGTGACGTGAGCATCTGTTGAAAGATACAATCGAGATTATAGAAAAGATAGATGGGTACACAGAACGAGTGCTGACTTGATGTGATGATCATAGTAGGGGAGCCTCAATTGTTTTTGAGAATTCACATACAGAGGGGTAGGGCGATATCATAGAAAACTAACTAGTATCATAAACAGGCTGCAGGGACTAATGATAACAGCAACTAGTGAGATAATGTGAAAAACGACGAGGGAAACTAGGATAGGTCATGGCTAGTGGTTCAACTTCTTTGAAACAAACATACTGATGCACATAGGCTGGCTTAGCTTGCCGTTAGAGAGATTTGTCCGTTAGTGGGCTTGGACTCTCTCTCAACCAATAGCAGCAGAACCAGGCTCCTTAAGGGATGCCAGTAAGTGGTGGTGTACACAGCGAGGCAGGCAAAACACATATACTTTAGTAAACACATACATGGCATGGCATGGCATGGCATGTGATTCAGCTCAAGCATTACTCACGCATTTGGGGCAGAACTAGGCTCCTTCAGGCACGTGGGAGAGGGGCAGGTGCAGACAGTACAGATGGTACACAGCAGGGCACGCATCACACATCAGCAACTCGCCGTCGCCCCCGCACACCTCGCACACGTCATCATCATCCTCCGCTGCCACCTCAGCATCCCCCTCAGCCGCCTCCTTTGACATGTCAGCGTCCATTTCAGCCGCCTCATTGGATACGTCAGCATCCACCTTAGCTGCTTCTTGATCCTTCCCCTCTTCCTCTTCCCCCTCCGTTCCCTCCATCTCCCCTTCACTCCCCCTCCCCTCCTTCCCCTCACCCTTCCCCGCACTTCTTCTTCCCCCCACCTCCCCACCCTCCCCGCACTTCTGCTCCCCCCCGCCTCCCCACCCTTCCCCGCGGCCGTCACAGCACCATCTGGCCTTCCCCCCCCCTGCTGCTCTTGCAGGCGTGGAGGGATCTGCTTTCACCTTCCCTATTCGCCTCTCCTTCGCCTTATCACCACCGCTTTTGTCGCTTGTTTTTTCATCTGCCTTCCCTGTTTTGACATCCGATTTCCCAGTTTTACCCGTCTTTCCGCCTTTTTTTCTACCCCCTTCTTCTTCCCCACGTAGCCAGGCTTCGAACGCCGTGTCGTCGTCGACATCGTCGTCAGTGCAGACGGGTAGCCGTGAGCTGCGATGCGACTGGTTGGAGAACCGGCAGGATTGCAAGTCCCGCGACATCGCTTACCGGTCGCTCTAAGGACTCCCGGATCGCACGCAATCAGGTTTGGCGATTACGTAGCCTGAAAATCCGCCACAACCACCGCTTACGGATTAAGTCGCGTAACACGCGAAGTTACCATGAAATTGGACAAGACCAGAGGAGATTAAGGACTACCTGTGGATGATGGCCGCCTTAGCAGGTAGTGTGTTATGTGATGCCATAGGTCCAGATCTGAAATGTCGTATCATCTTCTGCATCAGGCCTATGGTATGGTGGTGTGCGAAAACAAGAAACCACCTTTCGCCAACTGTCGCTAACGTGTGGTAACCCGATCTCACATCCCATGTGGGAACCTTGAGATTTATCCTTAGGGATCATCTGTGAGTGAGTGTGGAGCATGGGACCCATGTCATCTATGACATGGCATGAGGTGACATGAAACGGCCCAGCCTGGAGGAACACGAACTGCAGGATGATGGCCCTGTTTGGTAGGCGCGTGAGCATCTAGGCTCGGGTATGGGCTCACGCTCGGCGGTGGTGCTACATACCAAATATTCAGGTTTGGGTTTAGGGTACAGTGCCAAAATGCGATGGGCTTCTTGAAAGTCACATGACTGACATAACATGTGTCGCGCAAGCACATGATTGGCCATGCAAGCTGGTGCGCGCATGATGCACCCTCTCCACCATGCACCATGCGCGCATCAGTGGTGCGGCAGATTGCTTGGAGAGGATGTTTCCGGGAACGCGCTTTCGGTTCCCAAACTAGGGGCCAACACGGCCGTTCGGCAGTCATTTAGCACCAGTTCGCTTCGGGAGCCATGCGCCGATCCCAGGCCTTGATAGCCGGTCAAGCACTTATCTCGGAAGATTTTCGTGTGGTCGTTTTACTGTAGCCCATTCCCGAGCATGTGCTTCATACGCCTGCCAAACAGGGCTGATATGTAACGACATAGCTGGAATGTTGGAAACTCAAGGCGTTTCAACATGCCTCGGCAGCTTGCATGGGTACGTGACACTTGATCGTTCTGGGCGTGGAGCCTATCAGCAGATAACACAATTTGGCAGATGAAACTTTGTTGTGCGGAGAGTCACTACACAACGGGAGTGGACTACGGAGGAGGGCACGGGGTTGTGCGAGTGATCGTAGCTTGCTAGTAGCGTTCTTACTTCTTGCTTGTGTTCACAGAGAAGTTTGGCATGAATTCCACTAAGGAAGTTGATGATACAATTGAGGCATGCAGAACAAAAGGACTAGAATGGCATGCAACACCTAGCAAGGGCAAAATCTGCCAGCGCAGCAGAAGATCGGCTTGCCAACGCTGCAGCAGAGTAATATGCCAGCGTTGCTCTGCGCGCGGTCTGCCAGCAATGCAGTCGCAAGTGACTATCTGCAGTCGCAGGTAACTATCTGCTGTCGCAGGTTGTCTATCTGCGCAGATGTGCGCACCTACCAGTAGGTGCAGGTTGGCGGTTTCACCGACAGGCACATTGCGCAGGTGCCAGGTAGAAAACGTGTCGTCGGTTTCGCCAGGTGCGCACCGTCGACCACGTGATGCCGTTCTGCAGGTAGAACTTCGCCAAAACCTCCTGGGCAAAAGTTCGCATGCCTCCGCGGAGTTTCGCACAACTCTGCAACTTCGGTCGATCAGCTCGACATCGATCGGTCGAACAATGTTCGCCGAGCAGAGCTCCTCGACCCGAACTCTTCGACCAGAGTTCATCGACCAGGATCATCGACCAGCGCTCTTTGACAGGAGCTCGTCGCACAGAGAACCTCGACCAGAGCTCGTCGCGCAGAGTTTGTCGACCATATTTGGTCGAGCAGAGCCTGCTCGACCGCAACTTCCGTCGAACTGCAGAAGCCCATTTCGTCGACCAATCCGTCGAGAACTTCTCGTCGACGTCAAGATCGGCTGCGCCCAAGCAAGGGCGGGGCCTTTCTCTTCGACACTCCCCTGCCCAGCTTACGCTTGGGCACCCACACACAAGGTCCACCCAGAATCCAGAGGGACAGAATATAAGGAGAAAATTCCTTCTACGTGCACCTAACACATAGCACGTAGATCACCGCACCAGCCGTGCAGAAGGGCACGGCACCTACTGCTGCACCTCGTCATCCCCGTCGCCCACGTCGGCCAGACGCACTTGGCCGATTGCGACGGAGCACCGGTTGAAAGCCGGAAAATGCAGCGCCTTCGTCATAAAATATGTCGGCTGCTCGTAGGTCGGGATGTACTGCAGAGCAATCTTCACCATCTGCTGCAGCCAGGCGTAGTGTCGCTCCATGTGCTTGAGGTTGCCCTTGAGCCCCAAGCCCTCTGCGACAGTGATCGCCGACTGGTTGTCCACGTGCAGAACAGTCGGCTTCCTTCCGTCGAGCAGGCAAAATTCCGCAAGGAGGAAGCGTAGGCGTCGTGCCTCCTTGCCGGCTTCGGTGGCCGCGAGGTACTCTGACCCGGTCGACGAGAGCGTTGCACACTTGATGCGCTGGCTCGACCAGGAGACTACGGCTCCTTCGAAGACAAAAACGTAGCCGCCCGTGCTCGTCTGATTCTACTTGTCACCAGCGTCATCGGCATCTGCATAGCCGACCAGACACAGAGATTCTGGTCCGCCGCCGAACTCCTGAGCGGCGTCACGAGTTTTAGCGAGGTAGTGCATACATCGATCGACCTCACGCCAGTGCTTGTCGCTACGCACTGTCAGGCCGGATCCAAGCTTGCTGCAAGCGAAGGCAATGTCGAGCCTCGTCGTGGTAGCCGCAAACTGCAGCGAGCCAACCTTCTGCCGGTACTCTGCTTCCTTGCGCGACTGAAACTCCTCGTCGTCGAACATCAGCTCTGCGTAGGCGTCGAAAGAGACCGGCACCTTTGGCAGTCGTCCGGTCTGCTCCTCGTCGATGAAGCGTCTGCGCAGCTTGTCGTCGTAGACTTGCTGGTGAAGCCACAGCTTCCTCGCAGGACGGTCGCGCACGATTTCCATCCCGAGATACTTCTTGACCGAGCTGATTTCGCGCCGCTCAAAGGCGGCCTCCAACAGCTCATTCAGCTCCTTCAGCATCGTAGTGCTGCTCGCGGCGAGCAGGTCGTCAATGTAGACGAGCACCCAGCACGCCACTCTGTCGTCGCCGACCTTGAAGTAGAGAGCCTCATCGACCTGGCTCTTCTACCAGCCCGCGCCAGTTAGCACATCGTCGAGCGCCGAGTACCACAGCAGCGGACTCTGCTTCAGCCCGTAAAAGCTCTTCAGCAGCTTGCAGACGCGACCGGTTCCGTCGTTGTAGTAGTCAGGCTGGTACATGTAGAGGACGCGATCCAGCTTGCTCTGCAGAAACGCGTTCTTCATGTCGAGCTGCATCAGATGCAGGTCGAGGACTGCTACAATGCTGAGGAAGATCCGCAGGGTCACGTAGCTCCCCACCGGCGCGTACGTCTCGTCGTAGTCGGCGCCGTAGACCTGCGTGAAACCTTTCACCACCAGGCGAGCCTTCTCGTGGGCGACCGTGTCGTCGACGTGGTACTTTGTCGTGACCACCCAGCGGTTCTTCATGATGTTGACACCGCGCGGACGCTCGACCAGCTCCCACGTTCCATTGGAGATGAGACTCTTGATCTCCTTGTCCATGGCGGCCTTCAACGCCTTGCCTTTCCAGCTCGACAACGCCCCTTTCACCGTCATGTTGGCGATGTCCCAGCGATGCTCTGGGCCGGCGTGCATGTCGGGGTCGAGCTCGGGTAGATCGACGTCGTCCTCTATATCGTCTAGTAGAGTGCTGTAGGCCGTCGGCGGCAGACAAGCGTGGTAGCTGAGATTCTCAGGCGGCTTGCCGATGTTGGGGCGGGTAGAACGTCGCGGTTTCTCCTTTTTTTACCACGACCTCTACCACGTTCGTCGTCGTCAGACTGCTCACCTGTCGACAGCTCCCCTTCATCGCCGCCGGCCACACCGACGACTTCCACAACGTCGCTTGACGAGTCATCGTCGAACTGCTCCCCTGTCGACAGCTCCTCTACCGACGGCTCCCCCAGGATCGGCTTCTCTGCCGACGACTTCTCTGTGGTCTTCTTCGACGTCGACGGCTCCCCTGTCGTCTGCCGCTTCCCGTCGCTGACCATCTTGGCGTCACGTTGGCCGCCGGCGATGCAACCAGTCGGCGCCGTAGGCGACGCACAAAGTCTCCCCTCATTGCCGGCGGCCGACGAGAATCCCTTCTGAGGAAGGTCGACGACGGGCGGTGAAGGGGAGGGCGACGAAGTCTTCGACGGGGGCACAATAGGAGGAGGGGGCGGAACTTCCTCTACGTCCTCGTCATCATGCTCGTCAAAGTCGGCGAGCAGAGGAGGCATCTCCGAGGAGGAATCTGGCAGCGGGGCAGACGGCGTCCTCATTGATGCCGGCCCGTACTCTGCCTTCCACAACTCCATCGATAGGGTCTCGTAGAAGATCGCCTCGACCGTCGTGACGACTTTGTTGTCCGTCAAGTCGAGCACCTCCCAGCTCTTGCTCTCCGGCGACACTCCGAGGTGAAGACCCCAACGGGCCTTCGGCGCCAGCTTCCCGCCGCGCTACTGCTCGGGGACCATGAACTGCACCGTGCAGCCCCACACGCGCACCAGCGTCAAATCCGGCTTCTTCCCAAATAGCAGCACGTGCGGCGTCGTCCCCCTCGGCAGAGAAGCCCGCTCGAGGCAGTTGCGCACCCAGACGGCCTGTCGCAGAGCGAGGTGCCACCAGTGATGCTTCATGCCCATGTGCAAAAGCATCGTACACACGGCCTCGACCACCATGCGCATCTCCCGCTCTGCCATCCCGTTCTGCTGCGGAGTGTAGGGGCACGTCAGATTGTGGAGGATTCCCTTGTCCTCGACGAGGTCGGTGAAGGCGCGACCAAGGAACTCCCCTCCGCGGTCCGAACGCAACTTCTTCACCGTCTTCGACGTCTGTCGCTCCACCTCCTTCAGCCATTTTTCGAAGACGACCAGCACGTCGCTTTTCTTTGCGATCGGCCTCACCCACATGAAGCGAGTCTTCCTATCTTTCAGCAGAACAACGTAGAGGCTACCATCGTTGGCGGTCACTCGAAATGGCCCGCAGAGGTCAATGTGCACCACATCAAGCGCATTCTCGGCGTCCGATCCTTGGTCGGTGAAGGTGTGCCGTGCAAGTTTGCCGCCGACGCAGGAGGCACACGGCAGATCAGCTGCGGTCAACTTCTTGATGTCCAGACCGACAGCGACCTCATGTTTCGCCGAGCTCTTGATCGTGTCGCCGCCGACGTGCGCAAGCCGTGCGTGCAACATGTCCGGGGTCAACTTCATCGCCAACGCGATAGTCCGCAGAGCTACTACCTCCGTCGAAGTCATCGTCGACTTCGTCGAGCAGGGGAGCAGGTCGGTGCAGAGAATTCTGCCGGAGTAGCGTGCTCGACCAAGGACATCGCTGGCAGAAGACACCAGCAGCATCTCTCCGCCGTCGTCCCGCAGCTTCACTCCGTTCTCATTGAGCTGGCTTGCAGACAGCAGGTTCGCGTGCACACCCGGTACGTAGAGTACGTCGGAGACGAGGACCTGCTTCCCGGCCTCTCCTTGCAGAGCAACAGTGCCTCTGCCTTCGACGCTCTGTAGTGCCCCGTTGAAGCCGCGAACGTGACGAACGTCGCCGCTCAGCTGAATGTTGATCAAGGCCTCCTTAGTCCCCATCAAATGGTGGGAGCAGCCGCTGTCGAGCAGCACGACAGTCAGGTTGGCCTGCACAGCAGCAGTGACCGACTTGAAGTCTTTGCCAGCCTCCAGCGCCAGCGAGATCGTCGGCTCCACCACGCCGACCATCGAGCACAAAGCCTCCTCGCCACGAGCATTGCCGCCAGAGGAGTCAGCATTCTTCGTCGAAGACGTCTTCGACGCCTGCTTCTCCTTGCGCGGCTGGTTGTCGCGACGACGACGGCCACCATCTCCCTTTCAGCGGTTGGCGTCCCGGTCGTCGTCAGACTCGTCTCGGTCGAGGCAGTCGTACGAGAGGTGGTCGGGAGCATCGGAGATGTAGCAACGGCGGCCTTCTCAACGCGAGCCACTGCTGCCGCGATCTCCACCTTTCGCCAACATCCCGCGGTCGGCGCCCTCCGTCGATTTCGCGTTCGATGACTTCCCACCACCGCCTCCGGCAGACTTCCTACGCTGCCCCTGTTGGTGTGCGGAAGCAGTTCTGCAGGTCGCTCAGACTCCTGCATGAACTCGTCCTGGATGATGTGGCTCGAAAGCTAGTTCTCGTTCAGAGTCTTGCGAGTGCCGGGAACTGTCAGCATCCGGCGCATCAGATTGTAGCCCGAGGGGAGGCCACTGATGACATGAGTGACATATGGCACCATCGAGTAGTCGACGCCGGCCATCCGCAGATCGGCCAAAACTCGCCGCGCTCGATTGTAGTGTTCGGTCACCGATTCCTGCTCCCCCATACGAATGTTGGTCAACTTCTTCTCCAGCTGACTGATGTAGAGGTCGTCGGTCGCTTTGTAGGTGCGCATGATGTACTGCCACGCTTGGTAGCCAGCATCCACTCGTTGGCTGCACGACTTCAATGCGACCTGCACCAGAGGCGAGCAACACCTCGAAATGACCATGAAGGTTAGTAGATGAGCAGCGCGAAATTCCGCCCAGAGTTCAGAGTCGTCTGCGTCTAGCGTCTCAACATTGCCATCGACGAACTTCTTCAATCCGGCGATCTCCAGCTGAGGCTCGATGGATTCAATCTACGTGATCAAGTCGTGTCGACCTTCGAGCGGCTTCGGCACAGCGATCTTGTCCGGCGAAAACTTGCAAGAGATTGGGAAGAGATGGGGAAGCGAGGGGGAGGAGAGGGGGAACAGATGGGCAAGAGAGGGGGAAGAGAGGGGGAAGAGAAGGGCAAGAGAGAGGGAAGAGAGGGGGAAGAGATGGGGAAGAGAGGGGCAAGAGAGGGGGAAGAGAGGGGCAAGAGAGGGGCAAGACAGGGGGAAGAGAGGGGGAAGAGATGGGGTAGAGAGGGGGGAGAGAGGGGGAAGAGAGGGGAAAGAGATGGGGAAGAGAGGGGGAAGAGAGGGGGAAGAGATGGGGAAGCGAGGGGGAAGAGATGGGGAATCGAGGGAAAAGAGAGGGGGAAGAGAGGGGGAAGAGATGGAGAAGAGAGGGGGAAGAGGGGGCGGAGAGAGGGTGAAGAGTTGGGGAAGACAGGGGGAAGAGAGAGGGGGAAGAGAGGGGGAAGAGATGGGGAAGAGATGGGGAAGAGAGGGGGAAGAGAGGGGTAAGAGAGGGGGAAGAGAGGGGGAATAGAGGGGGAAGAGATAGGGAAGCGAGGGGGAAGAGAGGGGGAAGAGAGGGGGAAGAGATGGGGAAGCGAGGGGGAAGAGAGGGGGAAGAGATAGGGAAGCGAGGGGGAAGAGAGGGGGGAGAGATGGGGAAGAGATGGGGAAAAGAGGGGGGAGAGAGGGGGAAGAGAAGGGGAAGAGATATGGTTAGAGAGGGGGAAGAGATGGAAAAGAGAGGGGGAAGAGATGGGGAAGAGAGGGGGAAGAGACGGGGAAGAGAGGGGGAACGGATAGGGAAGAGAAGGAGAAGAGAGAGGGAGGAGATGGGGAAGAGAGGGGGAAGAAAGGGAGAATAGAGGGGGAAGAGAGGGGGGAGAGGGACGAGAGGGGAAAGAGAGGGCGAAAGGAGGGGGACGAGAGGGTTTACAGATATCTAAGAAGGAAGGAGGGAAGGGGGGGAGAGTGTGAGGGAAGGGAGTGGGAAAGGAGTTGCAGAGAATGAGGTGCCGGATCGGTTCTATTCACTAGTTCTATTGGTTCACTGGTAAACCCTGAATTTAGTCACACCTACCTTGGGATATGACTGAATTCAGTCACACATGCCTGGGGATACCACGGCATGACGATGAATAACAACCCTCGCTTACACGGTCATTTGCACACATCATCATATCTACAGTGACACCACTCCCTCCTTACAGTCACACCTACTGTGACATCATCCCTTCCTTACAGTCACACCCACCCGGGGGTACCACGACATAACGATGCGGAGAATGAAGAGGAAGTTCAGCGCCGCGAAAAGCAGGCCCAACACGGCACCCACTGCTGACGCCGCATCCGGCAAAATCTCCGCAATCCGCCGCTCTTTGCGCCACTGATGCAATGCCCTCGAGTGACCCCGCAGTCGCCGTCGGCGCAAGGAAAAGAGAAGCATAACAAGCGGCGGCAGTCGCGGCGGTGATTATCGAGAGGGAATCAGAGGGGGCTTGCTTCTTATCTACTTTGCTCGCGACGTCACAATGCCGTTGCATCAGTGATCGGACGGTCACCGCTTTGCATGACAGCCCTCGACGTAGCGATGGCGAAGAGAGGGTAACAGGTGCCGAACGATTTGCGAATAATGGAACTCGTAGAAGCGGTCGTTGAACGGACGACTTTCGAGTCAACTCAAAAGCTGGCTGAACGGCATAGGGAACCATCGCGCGATAATGTGAGGCCGACAGCGAAAGCACGGGGGCTACAGACGCTATTGTTCTAGGAAAATATCACCTACGCGCGTATGGCCTAGCGACCACGGTCTGTGCGGGAGCTTGCAGCAGACGCTGTTGCTCGATGTTGGCGTCAGCATCCGTCTTGATCTTGAAGAGCCACTTGGACGTAATCGCCTTACGCCCCTCCGGTAGCTCCACCCATTCCCATGTGCCGTTCTCCTCAATGTTCTTCAGCTCACTCTCCATTGCCTTCTTCCACTCCTCATCATCACTACTCTCCAAGGCCTCCTTGAGAGTTGCTAGTTCTCCCGGCATCTCCATTGGAGATAAGAACGCGAAGGCACACTCCTTGTATTCACTCTCCTCATCATCTCCTCGTATCACCACTTGCGAGGTTTCCCATTCCAAGGGATGATGGGCAGCTGCCACAGGTCCTTGGTGCAGCTGCTCTTCTTGTCCAGGTTCCATAGCAGCATCTTCCCAAGCTTTGCACGGCAGCTGGTTGGGCCGAATGTCACTTCAGCCTTGCCTTTCTACAGTCTACGCACAGAAAGGAGGTTAGCAGACAACCCCTCAACCAGCAGCACATTCCCGGGCCCCACAAGCTCCCCATTGGCTCCCTTCACCTTGGCATTCCCAACACTAATCACTGGGAGAAAAGCACCTGAAGCGGCAGCCACAAACTTGATCTTCCCAGGGGGCTTTACCTCATCAATCAAATCTGCCCGTGGGGTCATGTGACTTGTGTAACCTGAATCTATCACCCAGTAAGTGAGGGGGTGCATCACAACCTTCGCAACTGAACCCATATCACCCCCACTCCCATTTACATCCTCAACCATGAGGAACATCCCAGGGTAGGCTTTACCATGTGCACCTTCACCTTGTGCGCTTGAACCTTGCACAGTGCCACCTCGTGCACGTTCACCACTTGGTGGCTTCATGGCTGGGGATGCCCATCCTTCAGGCAGGTTGAAACACTTGAACCACGGGTGTCCATCCTTCTTGCAGTACCAGCACGCACCCTCCATTCGGGTGCTCCCCCTGCCACCAGAGCTCCCATGCCCCTCGTTATGGTCGCCTCGGCCTCTTCCTCTGCCAAAGCCTCTCCCTCGGCCTCGGCCTCTCGCACCCCCTCTTCCTCTGCTACCTCCTGCAGCTCCATACCCCTCAGGAGTCTTGTTGGCAGCACCACCTCCCGTGTGGCGCCTGCGGAAATCCTCCTGCAGAATCTGTTGCCGTAGCCACTCAGGTGTCCACTGGTCCTGCTAAGAGTTGAGGGTGGGGATGAGGTTGTCCCATGAGTTGTCGAGCACCGAGATGATCTTGGTGCACTGTTGCATCTGCGACACATTACTGACCGCTGCTGCCATCCTCGCATAGGTGTCCTTGATCTTGTCAAGGACCGGCTTCACATCATCGCCCGGTCGCATCGAGAGGGCAGCCAGCTCCTTCTCCAACACAATCACTATCGGCAGCGTGTTGGGCTGAATCACGTCGCGCAGTAGCTTCCAAGCCTTCGGTCCATTGTTGACCGATTGAAGAATAAGGTCAAACAGCACCGCACTCTTCTCAATCCACTGATCGCGGGCATCTCCTTCCCCCGGCATCTTCTCTTCCCCCATCGCAATTTTCAGCAGCTTGTACCGCTTGAAGGCACTCCTCGCTCGCCCGCTCCATTCCTCGTAATTGGAGCCATCCAATGCTTCGATCTTGGATAGTGGCGGCTCATTCCTCTTCTCAGCTGCATCCCCACTCCCTTGACTGACCTCCTTTGCTCCCAATCACAGGATTCAGCTCCCCCTTTTGCTGTCCACACTGAAGATCTCCAATACTTCCACAAGTGTCGGCGCCAACGAAATTTCGGCAGAGTTTCCCCTTAGCGGAAGTCACGTGCAACCTTCAGATCTCCACTTAGGCACGCCCACAGGCCATGGTGGGTCCGGAAGGATCTTCACACCTCAATATAATCCTCACAAGGTCCTTAATCAGCTCTGATACCACTTGTTAGAGACTAAGGACGGAGTCTATGAAGATTAGGGGCCGAAATCTCTCAAAATCGTTGGACTAAGTTTCTGGACAGAAATGTTGACTTCACAAGAAACGCCGTCGACGAAAAGTTCATCCTGAGTATGTTGCAGCCCCTTGACTGTGGCTATCTATCCCAATTTGAATCATATCAAAAGATGGAGTATAACTCGAGTTATGAATTTCGGCGCACTAGGGGATAAGCTGCCATAGAATCTTAACTCAATCACAAATAGTTCACACAAGTGAATTGGAGTCCGAGAGGGAAGGTCCCAAGAGAGTCCCCAACCAAGGAAACCCCATACCACACAATCCCCCTCTCTATAGGCACCCCAACTTTTACATTTGTCGCTTTTCCAACCCATGCCATCCACCTCACTCAACTTGGCCACACTTGCCAACCTGGTTTGGTTTCTCCCAAACACTTGGCATCAACTACAGTAGGAGTGACGAATGTCCCAACCCCCAAAAGTCTATACCATATTGAGTCACTCCGCAAATTCCCATTGTCGTCGCATCACAATCAAAACTTCGAACGATCATATCCTTCTCGTTCTTGCTCTGATCGCGTCGATTCTTGGTTCGGCGAAAAGCTCTTGAGCAGAGAAGTCATTCTAGATATCTCCCCGTCCACACATACTCAGAAAATCCAAACCACACCAAACACAAATTCGTGCATACGCTCACACCACGCATGCAACGCACAAACATATGATGGGAGGCAGACAGACGTGAATGCAAATGATAGCATCACATAACACAGCCGACCTGCAGCAGTGGGCGAGCTGGTCGACGGGTTGGTTGACCTGCACGGTGTTACTATGATGGCGCCAACTTTGGGAGGGCGCCGACCGTGGAGAGCGTTGTCTTGGTGACGCCGACTTGGGGAAGCCGACTTGGCGTGGTCGGCTGACACCTGTGCTGGTCGACCTGGAGTTGGTCGACCAGGAGTGTGGTCGACCTAAAGCTGGTCGACCAGGTGCGTGGTCGACTTGGTGTGGTCGACCGGTGGTGGTCGTCGACTTGGGTGGCCGACGGGCGCAAGGAGGAGCTGTTGTTCGAGTGGTTGCCCGGTCGACCAAGTTACCCAGGCCACGGGGTTCGACGGTCGCCCAGGTGTTTGTGGCGAGGCCAACCTCAGTGTGGTATCCCGAGGTCGGCGTACGTGGAGGATCAGGTGCAGTCGTGGGCATGTGGTCAGCCCGGCGTCTGCGCTGTACACGTGACGGGGCACAGCACGCCAACCAGCTACGAGCACCTACGAAGCGGGTGCACTGCTGTCATACGGGTGCAACGCTGTGCAGCCGCCTTGCTGCAACGTTGGCACGCTGTCGACCTGCCGTGTTGGCAGACCTCGACTTTGCTCTGCTGGAGCGCGGTCGACCTTGTCGTGCTGGAACGCGATCGACCTTGTCGTGCTGAAACGCGGTCGACCGTGCTGCGCAGGAAGTCGACCAGCTTGCATGCTAGCATCTGATATAGTCGTTGTTGCCTTGCTATTCTGAACTATTGTTGTGAACTTTTGCTAGTGAAACTCCTGCCAAATCTCCCTTTGAATGAGCAAGCAGTGCGAGCACAAGCAAACGACTAAGGAACGAACGCAGAGATCACCCCTACCATGTGCCTAGCCCGTAAACTAGCTCCCGTTGATAGAGTTATCTCTGCAGACTCGACACACACATTTGACATCATGGCTCATCATTCACACATTTATATAAGCATGAAAGATATGTCATCCCATGCCCTCATACCGTTCCATGCACATACGCATGCACGCACATGGACAACAAGCCGAGTGCATACCATAGGGTTGGACCAACAGTGTCAACTGGGGGGTTTCTGAATCTGAAGACTATGATGTATTGGTCGGCATGGGGTTACTGTACTGAGTAAGAGCCACCATCTGTACCTGGCAAGAGAAGGTGCTCTACAGGGTACAGTACTGGGATCCAGAAAGCTTGGTGGGGACCCTACCAGTGAAGTTGATCAGGCAGGAACCGAGAGAAGCATACAGGGCCCAGGATACAGACCCATCCAGGGAGCTGGATAACTGGAGCTGGGAGCAGTACGCTGATGAGTACGAGCACCGAATGGAAAGTAGGCTGAAGGGGAGGATCCGCCGTCACTGAAGGAACGCATCACTCGGGTGTGGGCATTGGAAAGCGCCCTATGCGTGATGGAATAATACGGAGGGATCGGCACAGGATTGGCAGCGGCACTGAAGGCGAGCTGCATGGTCCCGAAGTGGATACATGTGGAAAAGGACCCGGTGGAGAGGCGGATGGCAAGGCATCACACACAGCTACTGCTAGAAGAATACCCGCAGCAACTGCTGGCCTGCACCATTCCCGCGGAAGAAGATGCCACCATAGACGATGTAAGAGACATCACCAAAGAGAAGCTCGGGAAGTGGGGGCATATCGACCTGATAGTAGCATGATGGGAGTGCCATGGGTACTCCAGGGCGGGAGAAGGAAGAGGCATGGAGGATGCCAGGGGTGCATCATTCGGGGACTTGAAAACAGTGCTAGAGATGGTGCAAATAATGCAAGGCGAGGTGCTGTATATCCTGGAAAACGTCGACCTAGCGGAGGACAGGAGGGAACCGATGAAGAGAGCATTTGCAGAGATACAGGAAGCCGTGGGGAGAGGTTTGGCAGCAGATGCGGCATAGCTGGGCTCTAGAGCACATAGA